CGTAAATTTTGAGCGCTATTGGAATGCACCGTTCATTTATCCAGAGCACCACACTCATGGAGTATCAGAGTGCACTCTGGGCACTCTGTCTGTGGAGAGCAGCAAAGCGTCGAGCAGAGTGAATCTGTTTTAAACTGTTGTTGTCTCTCCGCTAGCATGTTTTTAGGCTTGTTAACGCTACCTGCAGACTGGAGCTACGGCTAATGTCAGACAGCCTTCCACTACTTAGATTTGCAGCTTTTGCTGTTACTATAGTCTAGGGAGTCTTTCCTGTTATATCACAGTTGGGAAGGGGCCAGAGAATTGAACTGAACTGAACTTTCAAATCCAAGCATATGTACACATACAGCTAATTTTGAGCAGAAAAAAAGTTTTTACACACAATACGTGTATTGATGGAAATGCCTGTATTGACACTATGTGCTTCTACAACTACAATGTTAGTAGAAAAAACTCTTAGTATTGATATGATTGTAGATTGCTGAGATAAAAACATTTTCAGCAGCTGAGCTTAAAAAATTGCCATGACACTGTGTGAAAGACAGAATTCCTCTCTCTATGTGTAGTCAGTCAATCAGGTGATATTTGGGTGACCTCAGGCATAATAAGAATCAAAGTCACGATGAAGTTAAATAAAAAAAAAGTGTATTTTTCTTTCTAACTGTGCACACAGACTCAGTGGCTCTGAGAAAAATGCAAAAAACAATTCACTCCCCCCTCCAACACATATACTCTCTGTCTCTGTGTTTCCACCAGCTGCTGATGTCTGACAGGCTGATGATGACTGTGTTTTTTCCCCTCCTTGTTTCAAAGTATGTTGGAGCAGATGGCCTGGAGAGGCAGAGTGGGGGAATGTGTTGGAGAGACTGCTGGGGAATGTGCCAAGTGTGTGTGTGTGTCTGTGTGTGTCTGTGTGTCTGTGTGTGAGCACGCGCATTTGTGTGGTTTCAGTTCGCGTGCCTTCTCGCTGCCCTCTGCCCTTCATGGCGCCAGCTCCACTTCCCCTCCACTCTAAACATCTGGTGTCTGGAACTTTGAGAACACACACACACACACACACACACACACACACACACACACAGGCATGCACATAGAGAGAAACAGCCAGCCAGCAGGGAAAAAGCCCTCAGCTAGTTTACATTTAAAAGAGCAACATGACTGCATTAGTGTGAAGCTGGATGTGAAAGCTGTTCACACTGATTTTGTGTTATAAATGAAAATCTCTTCATCCAAGCTTACTCACTTGAAAATATATTCATTTATAACCACAATGGTGCTGAATGTATTCAGTGGGCCCTTTTGGTCATGCTCCTGTAGAGTTTTGTCAAAAATATGAAAATCACTTCTACTCATAGTAATGATTGTAAAACATAACATGTTTCCTAAATGTATTATTAATAGTTTTGTATTACTAAAAGACAAAAAAGGTCTTTGGGGAAATATCAGAAATGTTCCGTTTTGTCTCAGCCAACTGGAGGGCGTGTCCCTGTCTGTGTTTGACTGACAGCAGCTGGCAGGCTGCCAGATGCTCACACCATAGCAAACTCAAGAGGAAACAAAGTTGTGCTGTAGCCTACATCATGGGCTGACAAAGGTCTGTCTCGATAATTACGTTATCTACTTATCCTATGGACATGACCGTGATCATTATGTTAACCTTAATATTACCCATTGTGTTTATATATGTGTTTACATAAGAATGTCACCAGTATTTAAGCCAATATGATGCCAAAATGATGCATAGTTTTTCCCAACCATTATAAAACTCCCTTTTTTTCTTTCCACCCTGCCTACTTGCACGAATCAGAAGAAAAATAAAACAGCACTTCAAACACAACACAACATAGCTTGCCAGTAGCCTGCAGCTGCACTCTTGAAATGAAAAAGGCCACTCTGTAAATCCACCAGCCAGAGTTTCACACACATTCATTAATTTGTGCAGCCAGCCACGATTAAAACATCTACCGCCACATTTTGATTTTCTATTTCGGAGCTGGACTGTTCATGAGATGCGCTTTTGGAATATATATACTGTTTGGGTATCACTGCTCCACATTCCCACAGTGCAGATCAAATTCTGGGCACAGATGGAGCAGCAGAACACCAGATGCAGTGAAAATGAAACTTGACCGTTCTGTGGGGTCTAAAAGTTTACTTTCACTCACAAACAGCTGCTCCTCTCATCCATCAATTTGATCTGATCTGATTAACTTGGCTCCAATCGACAGATTAATTTAAACTAAAGAAGAAGTCCACCTGCACTGCATTCACAGACCCACAAAAATCTTGAATTTAGAGAGGAGACACTGACTGATACACAAGGACATACAGGTAAGAAAAAAGAAGGAAAGTTAGCGAAAGTTTGCCAACTTAACAAAATGAGCTATCGTGCTCACAAGAATCAGATAGATAAGGTCACAGTGACCTTAACCTTTGACCTTTGACCACCACCTTTGAATTCTAAGAGGTTTATTGTTGAGTTCAAGTGGACATTTTTGCCAAATTGTGTGTTGTTGAGATATAGCGTTCAGCAGAATGAGACAGACAGACAATCGGAAAACATAATGCCTCTGGCCATGGCTATTGCTGGTGCACAGACATGAAATACATAATCACAGTCTGTGTTTAATGACGTCAGTGCCATCACGTCATGGTCTTAAGTCTCTTAGTTGTGGAAAAGACAAACATACATATTTAGTTACAGTTTTCATTAACTAACACTGATTACTTTCATTAAATTAACACTGGTGTAGTGACTTGTTAAGCAAGCCAATGTGCAAGACAAGACGCATGTTCACATTTCAACATTTCTTTGCACTTTGGGTGAATTTGCTGTACTACAATGGCTCACATACTACATTCAGTACAATGCAAATTTCCACAGCGCTAATTAACACAGTAGCTTAACAACAAACAAAAGGATGGCAAAGTAAAAATGATAGGAATTAGTGAGTAAAAACAGCATTTTGTTAAAAATGTGTGTGATGGAATAGGTGCTGTAGACATTATACATTATACTGAATTTATCAAGACAATAGGTAAACATGGAGAATGTGTTTCATTTGTATTAACAGCAAATTAAAACAGGAGCTGGTCAGAAAGCTAGGAGGCTTCTTACTCAAATATGATGGAACATAACTATAAATCAGAGGAAACAGAAAAGGGACCTGATCCATTTGTTTCTTTCTGTAGCTTAGGCCCTAGTCACTATTTAAGAGTGCATGTTATATAAAGAATGAGTGCAGCCTTACCTTCCTCTTCTTGCTCCTCCCCTCGGCCTGCAGGGTCCTGGTACACTGCTCCACACACTGCGAGAAGTTCAGACTGCTGTGGTCTGAACTGTAGTCCAACTCAGCCAACTGAGCCAGAGACAGGATGTAGTTGCAGGCTATACGTAATATTGCCAGCTTGGATAGCTTTTGACCATAGGAGTAACATGGCACCTGGAGAGAGAAGGAAATAGAGGGATGTGCTTGATAGATTCTTTTTTCTTTTAACATGTTTCATTGGTATGCATTAGCTAACATCTATATTGCAAAAGATATTAGTGTGTTTTGCTTCCCCTCATGATTTGCACATTGATAGTTTTAATTGTAATTGAGACTATTAATTAATGTAAGCTGAAATATCCCCTGGGTAAAAAGTAATTCTATACAGTTAGTACAACATTTATGTACACTATGCATGTCCATACAAATTCATTATTGAATGCTGTTATAAGATAAGATAAGATAAGATAAGATACACCTTTATTGATCCCATAATTGAGAAATTCCAGTGTTACAGCAGTCCAGGAGAAAGAGTAAAGATTTCAAAATTAAACTTAAAAAACTTAAATAACTAGGCATGCAGATAAGTACAAAAATACAAGAGACGGCGATAATAACAATAACGATAATAATAATAATAATAATGAAAATAATAGGAAGTGGATAATAATGAGCAGCAGTGAATGAAAATGAGCAGTGGATAAAGGGAGCACATCTAGTGCAAGTGATTGTAGAAAAAAGCTCAGCGGTGAGCAGGAGCTGCTGTAACAGGCGTCCGCACTGGGGGCGCCATCTTGTATGTTATTCTAGCTGTTATTCCAGTTATACCAGTAAGCTACGCTGTATTGTCTTTGAAGTGTTGTTTTATTTTTCTTCTGACTTACGCCAGGTAAGCAGGAGTAGGGAGAAAAAAAAAAGAGAATTGCTCTGCCCAAGTCTTGTAGCGTGCTCCAGGAATTAATCCTCAAACACAAAAATGAGTTAGCATTTTAGCACTCTCTGTTCCCTCGTCTTGAAGTCAGTGGGTTTTTTGAAAGGGTTTTTGGTTAGATGCCTTAAAAAAAGGTCTGTAGTTAACACAAGCTTAATAGACTTTCACATTTTGTTCTACCACATATAAGTCAATAGGCACCCGACTCATGAGTTTTGAAGCATTCATGTGTTTACAAAAAAAAAAGGCAGTTGGCAACAACTGGCTAAATAAGACTATAGAACGTCATCACACCAAACATGGCTTTACAGCCGTATTGTGGTGGCAACAATGAAGTCATGTGATTGCAGTGTAGTTTGTTTATCACCTAATGCTAGCTTTTTACTTCTGGTGATTGCATTTAGGCTTCAAAAATATTTAAAGTGGTGTTCATTTGTGAAGATTACCTAGCTGAAACAGAGCGTTTCAGTATCATATAGGTTTGTTTGCCAAAAATCTTATTTTCTGCAATAATCCATAATTCAATGGAAAAATTCCACTGGCTTTTAGACGAGGGAACCAGGGCAATTCTAACAACTGGGTCGGCCTACAGAAAAATGTAATCCCTAGAGCCCTCTATAATGGTTAGGAAACCCCTGCTGTTTCTTCTGGTATCATCATGTAAACACAACAAGCAATATCAATGTCAGCAAAATGGTCGTGGTCATGCCTATATATTGTACAACAAGTCAACTAGAGCTTCCACCAGTCAAGTTTCTATTACAGTGTACGTCCATGTTTGTGAAAAAATGGATGCTTCACACACCGAAGAGCTGTACAATCAGCACAGTTTCAAGATTAGTGTCACCAATTCAGTATCTGACCGAATGTCTCCTTCTGTTTCTGAGATATGACGGTGAGAAATGGCAAGAAAAGTATTTTATGCAGAAAATTATGTCGCAGTGAAGTTGACCCTTGTGTCTTTGGATATGAAATGGCATCACTTTCAGTTTTTCCTATTTGACATCTGTGTGAAGTTTTGTCATAATCAGCATAGGAATTCTGTATGGCCAAAAACATATTTTGTGAGGTCACACTGACTTTGACCTTTGACCACCAAATTCGAATATGTTCATTTTTGAGTCCAAGTGGATGTTTGTGTCAAATTTGAAGAAATTCCTTCAAAATGTTCTTCAGATATCGCATTCACGAGAATTAGACAGATGCAAGGTCACATTGACAATGACCATTAACCTTTCACCACAAAAATCTAATCATATCATGTTCACAAGAATGGGACAGACGGATGGATGGACAACCCAAAAACATAATGCCTCCAGCTGCAGCTTTCACCAGTGTGGAGGCATAAAAATGAAACTATCATGACAGGTCTACTTCTTCTTCTTGTTTTATTTTCTGCAGTGCAGTTAGTATCTGCATAACGAGGCCACCATCAACATATTTGTTGTTGTTTACTGCATGTGTACAGTATGAGTATAAGCTTGTACATAATTGTTGTTTGTGTGTGTTTTCAGAGAGGACTGTGAATCTCACCTGCTTTCTCAGGGCCTCGAATGCAGCACTAATGGTGTGGACACGGGTCCTCTCTCGGGCGTTGGCTAGAAGCCTCCTGGTCTGCTGGATGGCTTTAACCTCTGGAAGACGCCCAGGTCCATCACCACTCACCCCAGCCCGCTTCCTGGTAGACTCCTGAGAGCAAAAGGACTTTTGTTTTTTCGGTTTCACTGAAATTAACAGCAAAACGCTTACTGAAACTGTCCTCTGAAACAGAGACTTTTCCTGTGTTTGGGGGGGTTAACGGCAACGAGTCATGCTGTGAAGCCGCAAGCAGTCAAGCTCCACTGGTGCAAGTGTTTTTCCACAGCACCATACAGAGAGGTAAAGCTTGTTTACCTTGATGACTAGATGATGTGAGGTGTGCTAGTCACAGACCACAGTAGCAGCCTGTCACTTGTAGTGCTTCCAGCTCACTGTGGTTGTTTCTGTTGGCACTGTTACTCCCTGCAATATGTGAAACTCATCCACTGACCAAACAGCACAGACTACGTCAATATCTGCTTGATTATACCTGTTTCTGTTCAAGATTAGCACTATTAATGAAGCTCTGCTAACTTGGTGAAAAACACATGGTATTTCTTTCTTCACTAAAACAGAATCCTGCCTGTTCATCAGTGGATAGCTTTTACGGTGAACAGCAACAGAATGGGTTTGCATTGGCAGCAACTTAACACAGCTCCGATACTGTTGAAAGCGATCAGTAAAATCAGGCTGTCTGCAGTCTCACATCAGAGATCGGAGACTGCAGACAGATCACAGGAGTGAGACTAAACTCCAAACCTCAAACATTCAGTTCAAAGCTGCAAAAGAACTGAGAGCTCAACACAGAGAGACTTTTTTGTAACAAAGAATTCTTCCTAGTCACTGGAATAGTCACATAGCTGTACAGACAGTGAGGAGGACATCACAGGGTGGCAGTACACAGAACCACAGCAAAGCATCACAGCTATCCCCTGCTGGCTTGGCACAATGCAGGTAATGTAGAACAACTCTGGCCCATAGGAAAACCCTACCGGATGTAGAAGGCAGCAGTTCATCACTCAAACCAAACCCTGACAAACACCTCACCATCATCTTTCTTTGGATCATGTGCACACAACTACAGCAAATGTTGAAAAAAACACATTTTAAAATTCATTTTTAGGAATATATTATTTATTATCTATTACAATTAATTTACAATTACATGCAATAAAATTTAAGTTCATCTGTTTGAACCAGTAACTAATGCCACTTTGACACTGCCTGTTCAAGGATGGAATAAAGAAATACTGTGCCGTGATGCTGCCTTGCAGTGCCACAGGGGGTAGCAACAATGCCGAAACATTGTCTGTATAAACAGCACAGCCAGGGGATGAGACCATGGGCAGAGCCTACCCAGGACCTTACGCCGGCTCTGGATAGAGCTGAGTACACAAATAGGCTTCATTATAACACGCAGGATTCCCAGACAAAGCACTTGTCTTTTGCGGGACACATTTTCCCCACAAATACAACATGCTAATGTTATTAGCACAAGCCTATAACATTTTAAATTGTATAAATTAGCCTAGCAGCTAGCAGAGATTTCCTCTACTCACATGAAGCCAGGAACAACAGCAACATTTAACAAAGGTAACGTAATGAAATTTGGCTCCATTACAACTCATAAGGTTCACTGACAAATCAATTGTCTTATACTTAACACATTTTCCAAACTGATACAAAAAGTTAAAATTATTAACAAGCCTATAGCATTTTACATTGTATAAATTGTAAAAATTGTATATGAAGCCAGGCTAAATCACACACAAGACTTAAAATGCCATGGTGTGGGGGCTTTATTGTTCCACAATTTATTGTTTCTTATCTGTAAAATAAAAGTAAACAAAAGCTTTGTTTCTACTGAGGGAAATGGTTATCAGCTTACAAAAATAAAACAGAGGTTTGCATCACCTTTACTTGTAGTTACATTTCTAGGGAGGTGCCACATAGGTTAAAGTAGGCACAGCGTCGATTTGATGCATAAGTATAAATACTGCTTTATGTGTGCGACCCACCACTGGCGATTTAAAAAGTTGCTCTTAGCAGTTAGTGGCTAACTCAAAGAACAAGAATGGTGGCCGTAAATGTCTAAAAATTGGAAAAACAATGAGATTCGACAGCTCCTACCCTCTGAGCAGAGGAAGATCAGCTGCCATATAACAGGGACGTTTTTTATTGTTTATAAACACTGCTGACAGGTATGTTTTATGTCACACTAGACACCAATGCTGCTGGGTTACATGAATGACCCAACAGCATTGGTGATGATGCTGCCGTCATTTGCTTCTGTGTAAAACCCCAAAAGAGGCATAAAGAAGGGACTTTGTAGCTGCCCTATGGTGCCATTTCTGTGTAAAAAGGGCTTCAGTCTCATACTGGCCCTATTTCAAGGTTCTGTCACAACTACTGAGTACTTTTTTCTTGGACCTGCTCAATGTACGACTGATCCTTTCCTTGTTTTGTTCTGTCATTTCTTTTTAAGAAATGTGTCACCACTGTGTTGGCAGATTTTTTTTTTTTTACTTTAAAACAAGTACGTTTTTTTGACACAGGGGAAGAGGATGAATACAGATGCCTGAATGAATATGGATACACAAGTCTATAGCTTTCAATCATATTAGATGCCAGATGTTTTCAGTGGGTCACCAGAGTGAGTCAGTCAACCATTTACTCTTGAACCTGTACTGACACACAGCATATGTTGTCATGTGCAGTTTAACAGTGATTGAACAGTCTTTATATTCAGGGTTCCCACACATTTTCAGGGTCAAAATTTCAAAACTTTTCTGTGACTTTTCAAGTCATAACAGAATAACAAAATTTCCACAACCATACAGCAACAGAACTGCATAACATACATTACTCTGAAATCCTCCAAATGTTAATTGTATTATTATAGGCAGTCTGAAGACACAGAGCAGTAGAGCTCCCAGAGTCATTTGTTAATTTGTTCAAAGAAAAAAAAAAAAAAAAAAAAAAGAATGCTCTGCACCTTTTAACTCCCATGCTCCACTTTCAGAGCGGTTAAAACAAAACCACAGTGCTGCACCAAGTGACAGGTAAACGCCCCAGGCTGCCCATGTCAATTGCCCCAACTCGAAAATTCAGTACAAATTAAAAGATGTATGGGGGCCAAGGTTAGGGATGCACCGAAATGAAAATTTGTGGCCGAAGCCGAATTGGACGAATACCGAGTACCGAATACCATTGTTTAGTTTTTCATTGGCCCAAGTTTAAATCCATTTCTATAAGCCTTGTTTAATCACTTTTTTTTTGTCAATATAATTTTTACAGTGTTGTCTATGAGAAATATTGTCTATAATAATTAACTGCAATTCAAATACATTTCGCATGAATAAAATAAAAATCAACCAGCCGCCCTCCTCCCCTGACAAGTAAAGAACAGTACCTTCTTTACTTATGAAAGTAAAGAACAGTCCCTAAAGTGCGGTGAGGTTTGTGGGCCATTACCTGCCACAAAGAGAGAAATGTGAACAGCTTGTTTCTCCTCTGACATGTCACATACCTGAGTGCCGCCACGACTTGGCTGTCCAGGTACTTTTGGGCAGTTATGACGCCAAGAAGAGGACATTATTGGAGCCAGACTTCTCCGTCGCCGGTAAGCCTTATCTTGCGCCGTATTTGACAGGAATGCATTCCTGTCTGTGTCTGTGACCCCCATTCAACCCATAACCGGCGGGATTCGCCTTTCATTTCTGCTGCTGGTTGAAATCTGTACTGGCACAGCGTGCTGAATGACTTATTTTGCTTGCACAAAACTATTTTTAGTCGCAAATGCGAGTGCGGTGACGGACAGATTGCCACACTGCCGACATTTTACTCCGTCTGTCACCGCACACTGTTTGATTGTGTTATCGAAACACGCTGCTATTATTCGGCCTTGCTTTTAACTTATTCCACCGAATACTGAATGTGTGGGTTTTTTTGCAATATTCGGCCGAATATATTCGGTTACCGAATATTCGGTGCATCCTTAGCCAAGGTATAAAAACTTTGAGATTCATGACCCTACAAATTAGATCATACTGTCACACCATTATTTTTCTTGCCCCACTTGCCCCGCATTATACAAACAGATTCAAACTCTATTCAAACATAACTCCAGCAAGCTAGGAAATATGGAGAGAGAGACGGAGCGTGGGGAGAACATGAACAAATTTCAGTGAACAAAACGTCAGGCATTGATGCATCGATATCAGAGCTTTGTTACATCAATAGCTACAGATGATAAATTTGCATTAATGTTACATTATGTGGAAGGTTATCCACAGAAGATTGCCCTAACAATTCCACTAAACACAAAATTCCAAAACAAAATTCCATGACTTTTCCAAACTTTCGATGATTTTACTGATTTCATGACTTTTCCAGGTCTGGAAAGTGTAACTGTGGGATTTCATGACTTTTCCTGGTTTTCTATGACCGTGGGAACACTGTATATTGAGGATGGGCAGATCCCCACCAGTAATTGATGTATTGAAACTCCAAAGCTATTAATTTGGTATCAGTGAATGTGAAATTCAAAAGTACTGATAAATAATGCTGATGAGTAGGCTACTACCCATCCCTAATTAGCACAACACGTGATAAATTACCTCTAATGCACACAGCACTTAATCACAGTTGCACAGCCATAACAAACATCTAACCATTATTGTCATTACTCATTAAAGGTCCAGTGTGTAGGATTTAGTAGCTCTGTCAGTGAGGTTGCTCATTGCAGCCAACTGAAACTTCTCCCGTGTGTCGTATTCACAAAAACACAAATAGCCCTATCTAGAGCCAGTGTTTGGTTTCTCCATTCTGGGCTACTGTAGAAACATCATGGAGGATTCTTGGGAAGACAAGCTGCTTTGTATGTAGATATAAACATCTCATTCTAAGGTCACGTGATTACACGCTAATGAAAACATAGTTATGAATATTATATTCCATTTCTACAATGGACGAATTGAAAATAACAAATGAATTAAAGGTGCAGTGTTAAGGATTTAGGGGGATATATTGGCAGAAATTGAATATAATCCACTGGACTTTCAAATCTATTCGTTATATATGTATACGTATATATGTGTGTGTGTGTGTGTGTGTGTAAAACACAGCAGGGGCTGTCCATATTAACATTTTAATCTTGATCTGATGAAGGTCCAAACATATTGCATTGTTGTTGTTTTTTTAAATTGTGTGCTAATTTGTCCTTTCGATGCACCCTTACTTGTAGTCAAGCCACTGTGCAGCTCTCTGCTTCATGCAGCTGCAATGATTGAAAAAAAAAAAAAAAAATAACAACGCCATTGCCCTCCAGAGTTCTCGCGAGAGCACAATTTGAATTTGCTTAGCGAGTCACTCTGGCAATCAGTAATGATGCTCATTACCCATGCTGTTGGAGCCGAGCTGCACCAATCTAGACTTGGCTTTTTCTCTAAAAGAGGAACAGAAGACTGCGATCGAATCTTTCCTTTGCAAGAAGGACGTTTTTGCTGTTTTGCCAACCGGATACGGCAAGAGTCTAATCTACCAGTTAGCTCCGCTGGTAGCTAAGCGTATACGTCACCCTGTGTATTGTTCTGATTGGTCACAGTGTTATCCAATTGCGTTCAGTGATATTTACAAATGCATGCTTGGTGCCGCCCCTCAAGTTGGGCCATTTTCATTACTCATGGCCAGACCCTAAATCTTTCTAAATTTGGGTCTGGATTTCCATGGTACTTTTGAATGGCTCCTTTCACTTTAAAAAAACTCCCAGACAGCTCAGGTGACGAGTCGAAAGTAACATGCACCTTGTATAAAGTGTGAGTGAGTTTAAGCTCCCACCTACAAGCTGAGCATACAGGTGCAGCTAATCAGACTGATGTCTGCGGGCACCCACATCGTCAAGCCAGCAAAGCACTATACTGGAGTGAGCAAGTCACCACAGACATACACTGGTAATTAGTACTTTGCCTTGTTAACATGAACTTCAAAACTGTTTTAAAATACAAAATAATGACATTCAAAACATGCGATTAGAAACGCGATTAATCACAATTAACTGTTGAAATTCAGCCATTAATCGCAATTAAAAAAATTAATCATTTGATAATATAGATACATAGATAGATCGATAGATAGATAAATAAAGTCAGTGTCCCAGACAGTCAGTGTCTAGGACTTAGTATGTTAAGCTGATTCGCTGTTTAATTTTCTGTCAATTGACTAATTAAGTTATCATTTCAACTCTAATCTCTATATATAGATATTCCTCCAAGGTAATATTTCTCAGAACAGGTTTATGTTTTTCATGACACTCCACACATTCACCTTGGGAGACTGGACGTGGGGCTCCACATGTTCATGACACTGGGAGGTGTGGGAGGCTCTGGGGACAGGTGGAGCTCCGGTTTGGCCTGACAGAGATGGCTCCAGGGAGAAGGCCCGGTGGCTGGGTGAGTGGCTGTGGCTGCTGCTGGTTGGTGTTGACAGAGGGAAAGTGGAGCGCAGGCCCAGTTTGAGTCTGTTGGACAGAGGCTGGGAAATGGCTGTGGGCCAGTGGGAGATCTCAGAGTTAGAAAATGGAGATGAAGGTAACTGGGACAGTTTGGAAGTGATGGCAGGTACATTAATGCCAATTCTCATGTCTATGGCACCACTCTGAGCTGAAGCCACGTTGCCTTCTGGTAGTCCTGACCCTAACCCTGTAGTACTGGCCATCCCCTCCTGTGACATCATCAGCTGTCTCTGTAATGGAGCCAACCTGCTGACACTAGATGCTTCCGTCTGGGTGTCATCTACTGAGTCCACATCCGACATGTTTGCTGGGTAGATTTTCGTCCTTTCAGGCTCGGGGCCACTGAAAAGCCTTTTAGGCTCCCGAGACTTCCTCTTGAACTTCTTGTTAGTGTCTGGCACAGAGATCAGGACTGGGTCTTTGCTAACAGACCTATTCCAGGTATTACACAGTGGATGAGGGTTCTTCATTTTCAGACAATTAGTGTAACCGACAAACAAGTGAAGTGAAATCACTGTTAACAAAACATTTAATTTTCAACTATGCAAAACGCAAGTGAAACTGAACTATGTGTACTGAATGCAAAGTCTTCAGGAGTGTCCAACAAAATGTTTCAATTCCACAGTCACTCACTATGTGATTGTCATCTCTCTAAACTTTCACCTGCTGGGAGTATTTGCTTCATTACTATGAAAAAGTCAGAGTGGACTTTTATGTTTCTGACAGAACTTTGGGTCCCAGTCCATGAAACGTTCAAATTCATAATGTACACATACTTAACCAGCCTGAGTTTTGCCAATACTACACGAACCCAGCAAAAAAACAACAACAAAAAAAAAAAACAACTACCTTCCTGACAAACCTTCAGCTGCCAACTGTGTAACACAAGCTGTCCAACTGCACTGACAGAAGCTGCACAGCCATGTGTGTTACTTTAACTTTACCAGCAGATTTTCTGTGGCTCCACTCTGTCTGCATAACAGCATCCTGAATGATCCACATTAGTACACAAAGCTGTGTAACATCTGCTATTCCACACAAGTCGTCCCTCTGGACGGAGACTAGCAGGGAGCTTTCCTCAGCTGTAAAGCTTTCTTTCTGTGAGGGCAGTCCAGGCCTATGCCTCAGAACTGGGGTTACAGTGGAGCTGTCTGAGCGTGGCTCCAGTCAGTCTGCATAGCAGCACTGTGAATAACCCACACTGATACACACACTGAGCACAGATAGGCTGTAGTGGAGCTGCAGCTGCTGGACCAAATAATGGGAACAGCACATGAACAGGATGGCAACTATTCAGAGGACTCCAAATGCACTCACACTATTATGTTATAGATATGTTCAAGTGAAGAGCTCACAAACAGCTTACTGATTTCACATAAGTTTTCAAAGCAACCAGTGGGGACAGAATCTTATTGGATTGGTTACAGAAGTGAACAAAAACTGGGCCTCTTGTCACGGGCTGTGACATCATATTCCTTCATCTACCCACAGAGGAACATGAGTGACTTTCTGAACTCCACCAAACTGCGGAAAAAGAGTGACAGCAGCCGGCCAGGGCTCGGCTGTCAGCAGTAAATGACAACTGAAGTCTAACGTTCCTTTTCTAGGATGATAATGTCCCTACACGCTGCCAAGGTACCGATACATCCTTCAGTGAAGCTCACGGTCCTTTCTTGAAGAAAGCTCCGGTCTGCGAAACCCGGATATCTGGCACTCAGTGAGCCGGCTCCACGGGTCTGACTCGATACAGTTAGTTACTGCTTATCCATATGAATCACAGTCATTGGTCCACAGGCTGTGTCTTCTGAAGGGACACCGGCAGGTCGGCCCCCGTCCCACTCCGTGTCTCTGTGTCCCGCTCCGTGTCTCCGTGTTCTGCTCAGTGTCTCTGGTTCCTGCTCTGTGTCTCTGTGTCCTGCTCCTGTCCTGTGTGGAAACACAACAGCGCGTGCAAGGCTGAGCCTGCCGTTGGACGACAGGAAAGCTCAGTGGTTCCAAAGCAGAGGGGGCTCGCGCTCCTCTAACTCTGCTGGCGTCTGACTGGCTGGAGCTCTCTCGAGCCTCTCTCCCGCTCTCTCCCTCACGCACGCTCGCACACACACACACACACACACACACACAAAGAGAGAGCGAGAGAGAGAGGCACACACAAAGAGAGAGAGAGAGAGAGAGAGAGAGAGAGAGAGGAGTGAGAAAGAGAGAATTTCTTCTTCTTGTTTCAGCCTTTAGTTTTAGCAGAGATGATACTTATGCAAAGAAACAAAGTCATAGAGACGGCTCAGCAGCGCCACCTGCTGACATATAACATATAACTCCCCGTTATATGGCAGCATATTGCCTGTTTGTCCAGGTTCTCCAGCTTTCTCCCACAATCCAATTAGGTTAGGCTAATTGTTGACTCTAAATAAAAATAAAGGTGTTGTCTATGTTTCAACCCTGCAATAGTCTGGTGACCTGTCCAGAGTGTACCCCCCCTTGCCCAATGATGTATAGGGATAGACTTCAGCACACCCACAACCTTGTATCGGAATAAGTGGGTACGGAAAATTAATGAACAAACAATAAAGGCTTACTCTTTACTAACTGACTATCAACAAGGTTACAAACAAGTGTTAATTTGGTTGATGAGAACTATGACAAAAACATTTCTCCACAACCTCTTTTCCCTGACAAAACAAGACAGTGCGCTAAAAATAGATCATGATAATACAAACTAAGAGAAATCTATGTTTCATATTTGTTGATGAGATGAGAACTGACGAAAATGTTAGTGGTGGACTATCAGAAATTAAAAACCAAGAGCAGCCGTGTTTGTTATCATCTTCAAATGTGGCTTGAGTAACAGGCTGGCAAACTCCAGTAAATAGGCTAGTCTGTGCCAGGATGTTTCACTAGCCAACAGAAACACTCACACCAGAGCGGCATCAGATTTATAATAGATTAGTGGAGTTTGTTAGTTACAGTGGTGGCTGTTAGCAGTTAGCTCCGCTTATTAACTGCTAAACGGCAGCAGAGCAAGCAGCTACTGGCCACTGGACTTCACAGTTGATCCACCCACTCCACTCAGTCCGGACTCAAGAGGGTTTATGGGCTGATGCTGTTTGACAGGCAGGTAGGAGGCTCAGTTATCTGTGAGTGCTGTGCTGTAAGTGCAGTCTGCACTGAGATATTTTTCTCTGACAGAGATGGAAGTTTAGTTTTAATTACCAACTCTGTGAGAGGACAAGAGTTTAAAACTCCAGACTAACATGTTGCAGATTAAGAAATAATTCAGGCTTTAATAAAGTTATTTCTCTGCTTCTTAACAGTGAGATGGATATGTCAGAGTTTACAATGAACCTGGGCACAAATCCTAGTTGAGATGTTGACCTTTCCAAATGATGATCAGTAAGTGCCCACTTGCAAATCACCCCTTAAACCTGTCAAACACTGCTGGAGAAATGACAGTAGCCTATGTGAGTGTGTAGAAATTATTTGTAGTTATAGAAAAAATGTATACAACCTGTTACCTTGATTCTAATTTCTGATACATGAATTATCCATCCATCCATCCATTTTCATCTGCTTATCCGGGGCCGGGTCACGGGGGCAGCAGGCCGAGCAAAGCACCCCAGACATCCTCCTGGGGGACACCAAGGCGTTCCCAGGCCAGATGAGATATGTAATCCCTCCAGCGTGTTCTGGGTCTGCCCCAAGGCCTCCTACCAGTGGGACGTGCCTGGAACACCTCAAACAAGAGGCACCCAGGAGGCATCCTGATCAGATGCCCTAACCACCTCAACTGACCCCTTTCAATGCGAAGGAGCAGTGGCTGTACTCCGAGCTCCCTCCGGATGTCTGAGCCACCCCACGGAGCAAACTCATTTCCGCTGCCTGTATCCGCGACGTCATTCTTTCTATCACTGCCCAGAGCTCATGACCATGGGTGAGGGTTGGGACATAGATGGACCAGTAAATCAAAAGCTTCGCCTTCCAGCTCAGCTTTCTCTTCACCATGATGGGCCGACACAGCGCCCACATCACTGCAGAAGCCGCACCAAACCGCAGATGATGTGGTTCTGTTGGCCTCATCACACCATGACCTCCAGCATGCACTGGAGCTGTTTGCAGCTAAGTGTGAAGCGGTCAGGATGAGAGTCAGCACCTCCAACTCTGAGGCCATGGTGCTCTGCTGGAAACTGGTGGATTGCCCTCTCCCCGGGTTGGGGGAGAGTTACTGCCTCTAGCGAGGAAGTATCTTGGGGTCTTGTTCATGAGGGAGGATGCATGAATTAGCCTCACTGGAATAGTTAGATTTGTTAAATTTGAGTAAACCACCCTTTAATACAATCGCAATGATTTGTGTATGTTGGAAAATACTATTGTATGGTTTCTTTTGATATGACTGCTTGGCCTGGGGATGGTTGCAGCAACTTGTTGCAACCGTCCCCAGCCCATCAGCCATGACAGAACATCATGTGCTAGTTAGACACACTGACCTGGACACACTGACTATGTCGCTTAGAGGTCAACAAAACAACGATTCACACAAAGTAAGATTTCATTAAGTCATAAGGTCAGGACAGTATGACAGAAACACATCATGAAAAAAATACTTTCAAACATCCAAAATAAGTTTTTGCAATAAGTATGACATAAGATGTTGAATGTGTCTACTGTCTTCCTGGTAGGGGGTAGAGTCTAAGTGAGCATGTACAGTATACAGTATGAGTGTCATCACTCTAGCATGCTTGTGTGTGGAGGAATAAGAGCAGTTACAACCATCCCCAGTCTCCCCTAGCTACCAAAAAAGCCATAGGTATAACAACATTGCTAACACACTCTTGTAATCAGTGAGGGAAAAACAACTTCACGGCTGTGGCTGTTAGCAGCATGTCCTCTATGACCAGTTCGTTAATGCATGCAATTTTTCACCCCATGAGCCACTTAACACACACCTAGTCACCAGGTTTTCTGCAGTCAACCAAACTGTAAACAAAACCTTTGTTTGATGTGAAATGTATACATCCAACACATTTGTGGGGAAGGTTTTTTTAATTTAAGGAGCCAGGTGCAGTCTGAACAGTCTGAGTATTCAGTCTGCACTTAATGAGATGAAGAGTTTGTGCTGTTCTGATGTCAGAAGAGAACTTTAGCCAGCCACCTAGCTGACCACCAATTGATGTTGATATTTGGTTGAATTTACGTTGTTACATCAACCAAAATTCAATATCAGGACATCTAATACCAACAACAGTTATTATGAAATACTGATGACAGATGATTTTGATATTTTGTTGGTTTTAAGTTGTCATCTGGACATAGACTAACGACATTTAGTGGTAAGATATGGAGAACAAAATCCAACTTGTGCAAAACATCATAATGTATACCTACAAGCTACAACGTAAAATCCTGCTGTCATTAGACATTTGAAATATCATCAGCCTGATTTGTCTTCCAACCAAAGATTATTATCTGCCCAACGTAAGAGTTTGGTATCTTTCTGACATCATTTTGGCATCAGGTGACAGCAGGGCATCTTAGACTTGAATGTTGTTTGTTAGGGCCAATCTGTGACTAGAACGGAAAGTCCAATTAGTCCAGGTGGGTGCCAAATTTGAGGTGATGCGTTCACTTTTTAATTAAAGCATGAAACTTGGTTAACTTGTACAGTGCACCATGGTGGCCATTTTACTTTCTACCATAACCAAATTATTCAACTTGTATCATAACCAGTGGTGTAGTGGAAGTTGATAAGGTGAATGTAGATGGGTGGGTCACTGTGGAGGAAGTGGGTATACTCTGTTATGTTCAATAACTTGCGGACCGCAGCTCAGCTTAGTGTTAACTTTATTGTGCGCTGCACCCACCACAACCTTATTTCTGGCAGACTGTCATAAAACTGCCATGCTTACTGCAGCAACTACACCCATGACCAGTGTGGCTCATACATAACATACTCTCCTATTTATTCCAATGGCATTTTGGATGTAAGGTGGGTATGCTGTTAAAGGCCAGAAAAAGAGGTAGGTATACTCAATATACCTGCATATACCCTCCACCACACTTCTGATCATGTCCCCTGAGCCAAACAAAATAACAGAACAGGTGATGTCTACCCCTTTGTTTTTATGGTCAAGGATTACATTGATATAATATAAAACATTGTAAATGTGAAAAGTTAATGGTGGGGGGGAAAGGTGTTTTTGCATTTGCAGTGCAACCTTTCTTGCTGATACAACTTAAGAGCTCAGTGACGGACTGGTTGGCCTGTGGAAGAGTTGACCACAATGGTCTCCAATGGCTTTGGTCCATCCAACCAACCCCAGTCTGTGGGTAATGGCATATTTAGCGGCACCTCAAGTGCTTGTCCCCAACAGTATCTTTCTTGGTAGTCTTTTAAAGTGCTGAACCAACGTATCCTTCATTGGGGGGATTTGCTCCATTCCTCTTCTTTCTTTGTAAACGACTTAAAATTAGTTTCATCAGTGTTGAGTCAGCTGCTGGTGCAATTGTGGAGGAGAATTGTGAAGCAGTCTGCAATGCAATGGCATTCACGGTATCCCATGCTGTCTTCTTGCCCCTGCATGCAAATACAGATACTGTAACACAGCAAGTCAGGGTATGGAACACAGGAAGGGTTTTGGATTGGTCAAGACCCAGAGACTTGGCAGTCTCGTGGGCAGGCATGTACCTATCTGAAGTTTTTCCCAGTCTCAAACACCAACCACAGCTTGTTAATGGCAAGCTCTGACACTTGTGCAATGGTTAGGACCACTACATCTGTGTCCACAGTGTGCAGGGTAATCTTTTAAATTCCTTTTCCAGCATCACCTGCCGCATGGAATGCTGTCTCTTGCCAGACAGCAACAGGGTGAACAGGCTGTGGCTGATGTCCTTTGGGCTCTGCGTAGGCACCTCACTGATATCACTGATCACTGATGCTCTCTAGTTGGGGACCAATGATGTTGTGGGTGGCTTTAATCACCCACAGCACAGCCCTCATTTGTAATGTTTCCACTCAGATTGCTTTCTATTACTCCTCTGTTAAGTTGACAACAGGTGCA